TAACGGAACGAGCTTTGCTCACTCTCTCCCTGCTCTCCTCTTTGTGCACTGCTTAAGCTTCGAATTCCGCAAAGAGCACAAAAGCGCACTCCATCTTGCTCACTCTCCCGTTTACCTTGTTATATTTTTTTAGAGTTCAGTACCAAGCAAACGAGTTACAGCCAAACTCAAATATGGCATTTCAGAAATAGATGCGAAGTGCCGGCCGTATGTTACCACTTTATTTGCATGGACTGCTTTTTGCCAACGCTTTTTATACAAAATACAAATATTTCTTAGTGAAAACGTAATATGTGCAGAGCTGCAATAGCCAGCCTAGTTTCACCAGTACTCATTTCTTGTGCTATACCGTTACATACTTTTGTGCGAGCAAGCGAAATGACATGGCGAACATGCCATGGCATGCAAAATGCAATTGGGAAATATACTTTAAGAACAACAACACGAAAGGCAAGCGAAGCCGAAACGCCCCGCACTTTATCGCCTTCATCCTGGTCAGAGAGAGGGGGAAGAAACAGGCAGAGAAGGGCGGGGTCGGCCAGAGGTTGCTAAGGTGCGATAAAACAGTAAAGCAAGCGAAAGCAAGCAGCCAGAAAACAACACCAAGCAGAAACGAACGAGAAATACACATGTATGTCCATACGAGAAAAATATGAGAAAACGATTTCTAAATACTCTAGTAAAATATATCTTTTGGGTGCCTGGAGCCGGCTTAGCATGACGATATTTTACTCTCGGTTTCCCGCACGAATACGCACGGTCTGGTTTTATATTTAAAGACCAACTGAATGAAGGAGGAAATGTACTCTTTTTGTGAGTTTCTTTCGTAGAAATAGCACTCGCACACACAGGGGCGGAACATTTACAGTTTTACATGCAAATGCAACGAAATGAGCCCATAACATGACATACCAACTCAGAACTGACATGGAAATGTGTCGAGACATACTCGACTTTAGGGAGAGCAGGTGGGGAAGATGGTATCCATGGGACTGGCCCCTCGCATGATGGACAGTCGGAGGACGGCGACTGATGGCCCTGACGTAGTGCAAGAGAGAGAAAGAGCGATTCCACTTTGGAAAACTCACAATTGTTCTCACATTCCTACTTCCACGTACACGACTTTTGACACACGACACACTTGATTTTACTTTTACTTCATTTTTCGCACCAATCCAAATTACCTAATTTGGTAATTATTATGGTAGGGCAAGGCCAGAAGGTGTGTAGGTGCTATTTATTCAAAAATGTTCAATGCATACTCCTAATGGAAATACAATTAATAATATTAATAATAGGAAACATATCTGTAAGGCTCCCTCTGAAGTCCAGGCCAATTAAATCGGAACCCACCTGAAAAAATCTGATAAAATACATAACTGAATCCAGCACAATAAGTTGTTATTTATTCATTAGCTCATTAACCAAATGGCTGTGGGGCACTGCCACCTTCTGTTTGTTCGGGCAAACATTTACTCTGGCTTTTTCCGACGAAAGATTTTGGCAAACACAGTCAGAGCGAAAATCGAGTTTGATTTAGTAGCGTGATTGTTCCAGCTTACAATTTCGAATTTCACTTTCATTCGGGGCAAATACTCGTATTTGTCTTCAACAAAGAGCCAGCAAAGGTAACTACTATAAAATCGAGTAGACCGATTGGTTCCAGGGCAGTCAGTTCCCGACACATCAATCCATCAATCCACAAGCAAGATAATGAAGCTCTTCCCTCTGCTCCTCTGTTGCCTGCTGGTCCTCTGCTTCACCTCTCCAATGGAGGGACGCCTCTTCCTAACCAATCGTAGCGGCATCTTCTGTGTTTGGGCCGCAAAGAGATCCTGTTCCAAGACCACGCCCGTCTGCGTGCGAATAGTCGCCACCTCCACCTGTAAATACTATCGCAACGAGTGTCAGTACAGCTTTGATACTTGCCTGGGAAAAACGGGTAATTATTTAGCAACAAGTAGGGGAGCAACACCAATGCAGCGTTTATTATTCAAATATCCCATTAATCTCCACGCAAGGTTTTGGAACCAGAAAGCTTCTATAATTTCTGACATTTTCTTACAGTGTATGGTCAAACGGGAGTCGTAGATGCTACAGGGGCACTCTGTGCGGGGATTTTCCCTCTGGGAGGAATCGGTGCTTGCTAGAGACTATATTCCATTATATATGTATAAATATTTATCCCTAGCTGTAACGAATAAATATTGCATATTTATTGTCTATAGTCCTCTCATAAATAGTCACTTATTTATTTATGGCAGGACGAAAGCGTCCTGGTTTTGTCATTCAATCTCGCCGCTGATCAGAATCGTTTATTTAAATGGTTTTGCAACTCTTTTGGCATTACATGACCCACACTCGCATGAAGAGCTCGTCCTATCGCAATGATGAATGCTGGAAAGTGGTTCCCTTCGTTCTTTTTTAATTGCAATCGCATAAATTGTACGTTTTATGTGGGTGAAAAACGAGGGGGAAATTATGGTTATGGTCACGCAGACAATGTAAATTTATGGAACTTTTGCTTTTTAGTTTGCCATTTTTTGCGCCATTTTTTGTTGTTGCACAAAGCCAGCGGATGTGAACGGCGGGTGCCTGCGGATGCAATTAGAATGCCAGAAAATAAATCCCCGCACATGCATATGCACATGGTATGTACATACATATATATCTACGCGTGCGTACATACATATGGGACTGGGAAACTGGGTCAATTCCGAAAAATGTAAGCGCTGAAAGTTCGGAAAATTGTAGAAATGAGGCTTGAGGAGAGTAAATTTAGCCTCAGTAAAATCGAATGTTGCTTTTGCAAACATAAAGGTCGAAAAGCGTTTAGAGTTTACTTATGTATATGTACATATTTATGCACAAAAGTAGTTTGTTTTCTTTTTCAGTTTCAGTATTTTTTCCCTAAGTCTTTTGGGACTACACGTGGTAGTCTAACCCCTTCTTATAATTATGGGTGTTATGTTCGACGATGAAGATGAGCCCAAAAGAGACGACAGAATGCTGGCCCAGCCACCGGTCGAGGATGATGTCGAAGTTGAGGACGATGACGACGTAGAGGAGAAAGTGCTGATGCAGGTTCCTGTCCGATTTACCGAAATGCTCGTACAATTACCCAGATTGACCACATTCCAGCCTATGGGAAAAACTGATGAATACCAGAAATGCATGAAGGGGTATTCCGCACTCACTTGAGACACTTGTCCGGCAATTAGCTCGCTCCATCAGGCAGCGGTTCCTGAATCTGTGGCACCGGCGTGTCGTGCTCCAGCGCCCGCAGACGTTTGAGTTGGCAAAGCAGCTGCTGCTGGTGCTTACACAGCGCGAGGAGGGCGTAGAACTGCTGCTGCTACTGCTGCTGGAGCCATTACCGTTAGTGATTATCACCGACTTACCTCGGGAGTTACCAGATGCCGTAGAGCGACGTCCGCTCACCGAACTCCGGCGCCCGGCGTTTGTGCTGGCCCTAACATTGCTATTTGCCCTAGCACGCACCTGGCGAGGTTTTGCACTGTTCAAGGCCTTCGCCCGTATGCGTCGTTGTTTCTTTTGCGCCTGCGAGGCGACCACGATCAGGGCGATCAGAAGCAGCAAAGACAGCGCGAGACGCATTCTGCAATTGATTTTTGCTTCTGGTTGTTTCTTCAGAGGAGCTCTTAGGTTTTATACCCCTCCAAGGAACGTGTCTCTGTCTGGCCTTGGAAGATGTGTATTATAATATTTCCTCATCCATTCTTTAAACACATATTTGCACTTCAAATTTCTTTGCCTGCCCAATTGTGCAAATACTTTAGAGCGAAAAAGAAAGAGATGATGGGACTACGTCACGTGTGTGCAGTAGATATTTTAGGAAATTTAAATATGCCAGAGAGCAATTAAATCAATTAACTAACTCTTGAATAGCTCATACCTAATATGAATCATACTTTTAGGCAGTTCAACAAAAAAGTGGAATATGCATTTTTAAGGTGGATGTCTTCGGCATGGGTTAGTGTAGAACTATAGATACATCTAGATATTGTACATAATTATGCGAAATGGTTCATCAATGTACATATTTACACTGCAATACAATGCTGCAATACATCATGTCTGACATATGAACAAATAAACAATTGAGTGGAGCATTTGCTACTGACATTAAAATAAAACATTTAAATTTAATTGAAAGTATTAATATTTATGGAATTTACGCTCTTATTTTCTAGTCCCAAATCTACACTATCTTACTTGTTTTGAGATTTATGCAGAGCTCGTTTTATACTCAGGTGGACATCTGATTTGATTAGCCAGATTCCTTAATAATTTTTGTGCCCCCAGAAGTGGATGTTTGTTGTTGACTAGCGTTGGCCTTTACTGCGTTGCTGCCACTACCGCAGGGAAGCTTCCTATCCAATGGCATGTTCTTGCAGAGACTGTAGTTGACCTTGCGATATACTGAAAGGGATATTTCCAGATAAAAGTTACAAAAATCAGCAGGATTCCACTCACATGCGGTCAGGCCCTTGTTGTTGCAGTTCGATATCCTGCGTTGGCAGTCGTTCTTAAAGGCTTGACAGAGATTGGCCCTTCCAAAGCGTCCACATGATCTGGTCGTGGCATTACAGCTACTCTGAACGTTCTTCTTACAGCTCTGAGCTCTGCGGGAACTTGGGTTAGCTCGGGTCTAGGAATTGCTTACCGAATGGTCAAACCCCTCGGTTGTCCTGCTGCTGCTGCTGGACATGGCCAGGTGGAGGATCAGGCCCAGGATGATACACAAGTAGCAAGAGGCTTTCATGGCGGGTTCTTTGTTTGTACAAAACTGAATGACAATTAACTGAATAGCTTTGGCTTTTATACAATTTCATCTGTATTTGCTTTGCAAAAAATTTTATAAACACTTTGCTCTAGTTACCACATTAATTTCAGTTTAAATTGACTCTCAGCTGAGCTAATACATAGATCTCTCTCTCATAGATCTTCAACCTTGAGCGACATAACTAGTTTCTGTGGGTTTCCAAAGGTTTATTCACTTAACAATATTTAACCTCGGCGTATGATGATGGGAATAACATTTGAAGTCGAGCTGGAAGTGGAGGATGAGCCACCGCAGATTCCGCGACTATTCAGACTGATCGACGAGCACCTGGACAGGGCCACGGCCGTGTAAGTGGTGGAGCTCACACACGACTGGTAGCGCAGCACGCAGCTGTTCCTGAAACGGGTACACAGATTGGAGGAGCCATAGCGTCCACAGGCATTGGTTGTGGCATTCAAGCTGCAGTTCCTCAGCACACACACCTTGGCCCCAGTGCTGCTGTTGATGGTGCTGCCAGTAAGGAAGGCGCAGGCTAGGGCCAGGATCGCCAGGAGTGTGGACAGGGCTAGAGCGGCTTTCATTCTGCTTGTTGGTGATTTCAATGGTCTTTGCCATTTGGCTCTATGGCATGGACTATTTATAGTTCTCGTTGACGATTAGTTTCTGCCTAGAACATTTTCAATATAAAAGAAAGCCGCATATATCTTTCGAAGAACGACAAGATTTACACCTGTCCAAATAAAGAGAGCTTCTGGCTGACATTGGAATATGATAACAGAAGGTGGAGTGGTTATTGGGCACCTTGGGTGAGCCAATGCCCATTGTTAAAGGCCTGTGCGAATTTGTTCAATGCTTTAGATGCTTTTTTTCAATTTTTGGTTGGGTACAATGTTCATAAATATATTATACATCTGCTGTACCTTGAACGTTACGTCTACATCGCAGATACATGTATCGTACTTGCAAATAATGGACACAAAAAAGTGAAGCATAGCATACTTTCGGCTACTGTGAATATTCCGAGTAAAAGACTATTACTTGCATTTGTGGGAGTATCACTGCATCATCTGCTTTAACTAGGCTTCCAAGGGAAAACTTTTTAAATGTTGAGTCGAATGTTTTCTCTGTTCTATATTTACTAATCTGGGAGCTAAACACCTATTTGGAATTGAAAGAATGTCCTGGGTTGATTGGGAATATTGGAAAAGGGTTTATATATCTTCCAATTTCTCTTCTGCTCAACAATTATTTTAATATGCGGCAAAATCAACAAAACTGCGGGTATCCTGCTGTTGTTCGTGTAATTGACTGTTCTCCCAGCTCGAATTCATTAACCTCTTGCTTACAACAAAATGCAATGCACCAGATTTCAATTTAGTAGTAGAAACTTGATCTGGCTTCTCCAATAAACGGCAAATTAAAACAGTTTATCGGATAATCCCTTTCATCTGCCACCTACCCTACTGCACAAAAACAACTAATAAATGAAATGCGTGAAGCAGAAAAACGCAAACAACAAGAGTAAAAAAAAAAACAACTATCTCATGTTCAACCTTATTATTATTTTTTTTGTAGTTAGTAGTTTTTGTTGTTTCGTTTTTGTTTGTTAATCAATTCGTAAAACGCACTTTTATAAAATGCTGTTGACAGCATTGTTGAGTGACTGCTGGTCAAGGCTGGAAATCAGTTTCGATAATTGGCTTTAGATGGAGAGAAATTTAAGAGCTCTTGGCGTCGCTCCCTCTTGATGGGGACTGCCATTTTCTAGTGGGTTGCATCTGAGACCAATCAAGAAAATATTTATGCAAAAAAAACCGTTTATTTCTGGCAATTTTTGCCAGGCTCTCCAACCAATTTGCATGTATTTAAGGAAAATTTCATGTGCGTGTCTTGTGCAGTTTGAAGTTTGGCTTGCGGCAAAGTGATTGAGCCAAGTCAAGCATCCATTTAGGCTAGTCAATTAGTTGCCCATTGAATCGATAACGTCTTAGACATCGTGTCACACAATTCTGCCTGCCTGCCCAACTATCTCACCGACATAGCCAAGAGGCTTGGGTGCTATTGGATAGTGAAATCAGATCACCACTTTCTATTGATTCAAAGTGGGTTCAGCACATGAATTGTGACTGTAACGAGCAGCAATTATATGAACTTTTCATTAAGTAAAAGTAAGTTAGATAAATAGTTACAATTGAGTGTGCGGATATATATTCTTATTTCTTATCTTTGTTTACATTAATTTCATTAACTCATTTAATTGGAGTAACATCAACACTAATGAATTCGGGTTGGATGGGCTTTAGGTGGTTATTGATTTGAAAGCTCATCAACATTATGATTTGCTTACAGCTATAGCTAATAGATAATACTTTAATTAAGTTCGTATTGAAAATTGATCCATCGAACATTGCAAATCAGACGAAATCCCATTAATAGTAGAGTGCATTTCCTCCTGCTTTGTGGGTCATTTTTAATGAAACTGCTGCACATTGCCCGCCAGCATTAACCAATTTGTCAGACTCAATTAAGCTGCATACGAGTATACTTCCACTCTAAACAAAAGATCGATTATATAACCCGAAGCAGTGGCATGCCCCAAATGGGTGCCGATTAATCAGCCATTGGCAGTGAAAATGGATGAGCACTAAAATCAGACCGCAGAAATGTACGATGAACACAAAGGCCAGAAAAGGCCACAAAAGCAAACCCAAGAGAGAAAGAGAAAAAGGGGAACGGAGGCAGACAGACAGAGATGTGGCCTGAAGATGCTACTTGAAGTTGTGGCCAACGGGTTTGGTCTGTGCTTTGTCGCATTGCAGGAAGTTGCAAGTTGTCAACGGGTTGGCCGCATTTGGCCATTTATTGCTTGGCATGGGATTGACGACGTTGCTTTAGCAGGGTATCCTAGGGTATGTACGACTTGTGTTGCGACACCATGAACATGGATAGGCATGCAAAAGGAAATGCTATTTTCGATTAGATGATTGTACCACATATTTTAATATGTACAATAAGTACAATAATTAAATAAGTAGTTGAAGTATCCCTCTTGGTTGGCATCAGCGCGTCGAACCCCGGCGGTACGCAGCATCCTTATACAGATCTGCATTTGATTGCTGGCGCTGCAATCAAAATTATTTAACTCAGATCCGGCAAATGAATTCGCGGACTGCGATTCGCGTGATGCTGCCAATGCGGCAATCAGAGACGCGACTGCGCCCCCGTTTATCAGCTAACGGAAAGAAAGAGCAACAACAAACTTTCACTTTCGACCGCGTTCACTTCGTCTCGTCTCGATTCGTTTCATTTTGTTTCGTTTCATTTTGCTGTCTTTTTCTTGCGAACCGCCTTCTTTTTGTTGGGCAGGTCAGTTATAGCACAGTGCTGGTGTTGCAGTTGCAGTTGCAGTTGGAGCTGGATATAAGCCTGGGGGGCTGGGGCTGGGCTGGAGCCCACTGCTATGGTTGAGTGCATTTTCGATTTGGTCTCCTCTAATCATTGGGCTTGTGTTGTTGTCTAAGAAAATGTTGTAATATAATTTTAATTTGTACCCAGAAATGATTGCCAATTGCCCGGTGCCTAATGTTGATTATACAATTTTCTTGTTGCTCTTGTTGTTGTTCGCCTTAAACGAAAGTGTTTTGAGCGCTTTGGCGAGGGTAATACTTAAGCTACAGATTTGAACACACACAATTCGGTAATTATTTATTGTTGCTTTCGGGTGGGCAGAGCCGGGTTGAGAGTCGGGGTGACTTGGGGCGTACACAATACAAGATCATCGTCTATGCGCACGAGCACTCTCTGTTGGCCACAAGCGATGGATAGAAGGTCTAAGGTCTAGTGGCAACGACTCTGCACGGTGGCCGAAAACCAAACAAGTTCAAAACCGTTCAAGTATGTTTGCCCTGTGGACATAGGTCTATCTTATCCCCTTGGCTCCACCGAAAAACCAATGCGAGGTGCGCATGCGTGAGGTCGTCGCACTTAAATGTCAAACGGTTCAGTGCTTTAATGAGACCCGAAAGCAAGATCAGGCCCGTCCACCCCAAAACCAAGTCAAAGATTGGTCAATTCGATCAGGCCAAGTCGGCTCTCAAGTCTATTGCGAGGCTTGTCGCAATTGCTGCGGCTGCGGCTTTTTCATGTGGCAAGAAGAATGACCATAAGCAAGACAGATTAATGCTGGCCTGTCTAATTTATACAACACATTGCGAGAGAGACGACGACAGAAAATTCGTCGTCCAAGTAGGACGTAAATTAATGCGATTTCGGTTCGGGGGTAATTAAACATATGGCTCGTTTACACACCCAACACAAACGAACCTGCCACAAAATTGGCAGCAATTTATTGTAAGATCGGTCTCTGACAATGCCTAACCTTATATGCATACACCTTGGAAAGGCACACACCTGTGTGTGAAGTGCGCAGGCGTGTGTACTTCTCCGCCTCGTCGCAACGTGCTCGCTCTACAACATGTTGGCTCTGAGCGACCTTTCTGATAAGCTCTACCTCTCTCTCTCTCTATCTGACTGTTGTGTCTTGCATGCAAATCTGGCGAATGTTCGCCTGCAGTTTTATTGTTGCTTTTGATATTCTGTTTGTTCCCCGTTTCCCCCCAGATCAGCCTCGTCTGGCGACCAAATTTGTACGTTTAACGGTGTTCAGTGTGCTGAGCCAGCGGCCACCAATCCATATCGAAGCCATCCATAGGTGGATAGCCTCGAAATGCCACAAGAACCCAAAGTATGGACGTGGCCAGTTTTTTAATTGCCTGAAAATCATACTCTTTTTTCGATTTTGTATTTTGTAGGCCACAATTGGTGATTGCAAAATCTGCACAGGTGGAGGAGTCCAAATTGGAATATTAATAAATAAATAATAAAATAAATAGGTTTACTGTATATAGTTTATAATTAAAGGAGGATTTTAGGAAGGCCTCAAACATCTGATGCATGTTAAAGTCAAATGGGGGTTTCAGAGGCTTCTGAGTTGACATGCGTGCTCCCAACTAAATGTATTCTTTGGTCAACTCAATAAGTTTCAAAACGATGTTCAGCCAGTTAAATATTTCCATTAACACTTTTAGATATTTAGATATTTTTAGATTATTTAAAATTCCGCTCTTGAGTGCTAATCAAAGCAAAATGCCAATTTGCATAAGTTGAAGTGATTTCCTCGTTTTTAGTTCTATAGAGCGAAACTATGACTCCATCGGAAGGTGTTAAGACTTTCGCGATTCTGTCAAGATCAATACCATGATGATGATGATGATGATAATCATGAATGGTGACGATCACACAAAAAAATCTAAAGATTTTATTTTGTTGCTTATTTATGTATTTATTTTCGAGGCGAAGCAAACAAAATCGCATTAGTGGAAGTTGCCGCCTTGGATATGAACATCGTACAAATGTAGGCATGTACATTTTTTGTATGTACATATGTATGTACATGCAAACATATGTACTCTACAGAAAATCTGGCTTCCAAAGCATCAATGGCTTAAAATAAAATCTCTGTTTTCCTTTCATTGCTGTCATCGCATAGGAAATGACCATAATGGGTTAATAACAAATAATAAACATCTCGAATAAATATTATTGCTTGCCAAATGCCAGCAGCCTTGAGCGAAATTAAGCAGCCGTTGCTGTGTGCTGCGACTTGGGCAATTGGCAATTAGCGTGATAATATCATCGCCAAATGTGTTACCTAGAAAACTAATCATAACGGCGGAGAGATGTAATTAGGCTATAACGACAATAGAATGGAAATCACGCAGAAAGAAAAATG